AATAATATATAGAATATTTAACTTTGAAGTAAATTTTATCTTGTTCTCAGTGAAACAATTGTTAATAACATAATTGAATTATTTCTATATAAATATCGCTTCCTATTCAACAAAAATCATTGTTTTCTTTAAATAAACATAAAACTTCAATTTCCTACTTTTCTGTTGAAAATCGGATATGTTTAAATAAATTATTTTTTAATTCTTGGATTCTGCTATCATTCTCATAAAAAATTCTCTCTATTTACGGGACACCACTGTGTATCTATAATTTATTTATTATTTTAAAATATATAATTTTTGCGAAAATATAGTCCCAAATAACATGTTATTATTAATAAAACTTCTCTCATGGGAACGTTTCAAAGATCTCCATCAGGGTTTCCTCGATAGAAACATAATGTTTTTAATTTATCCTGTTACAAAAAATAAAAAGTGTCCCATTTTTCGGGAAATTGTTTATATATTTCAGTTATTTGGTTTTATAGCATATTTAATATGTTTGTAGCTTATTTTATTGTGTAAGAAATTCAATTTTTTTTAAATCAAAATATATGTAAAAAATATAATATGAAATGATATGAGATGGTTTTATATTTTAGTAACTCTTTTAAATATATTGTTTTACCATAATTTTCGCAGTTTTAAATAGCTCAGAAAACATCAACATTTTTGAATTTACAAATATACACCCTCTTCCCATCCTACAGTAAAAAATTATTAAAATGACATGTTAAATGCAGGCATACATATACTGGCTATATTACAAGTTGCTAAGGGAACTCCGAACCTAGCTTTTTCGCTCGCCTGTGGAGGAAAATCAGGACTCCAAGAGATCCCTGTGCTTCTCTCTCAACCGTAATGCCAATGCCGAAATAAATAAATTATGATTAATAAATCGTAATAAAAATATTGAGAGAAAATTGAACGATGACAGGGAGTATCGAAGCCGGTATCCCCGAGACCTAACTAGATAACAATTAAATTGATGACAGATAATGGAGTAAGTAATTAATTATCGATTCCGTAATATCATTACTCCCCAATAACTCTTTAGCGAGGGCAGGTTCCAAACATTTCCCCAAGTTTCATTTGCCTAATGCTCTGGAAAAGCCTTATTTTCACTATCCAAACATTTTAAAAACAATGCAAATATTACGTTCCTTGCCGCTCTTTTCTATTAAGAAGTTGGTCATTTCTCTAATGTAAGTGCTATTGATTTTTCGTAAAAAGGTAATTGTATAAGAGAAGGAAATTAAATTGTGGATGGAAGTTGGATATTGCAATTACAGAGACATTTTACTATATATTTTATGTATATTATGACGTTTAGGTTTTTGTCTTTATAACGGTGGAATAAATAAAAGCTCAAACGTTTTTATTTTATATTTCTTGTTTTATCTTATGGAGTCGTAATCTCAGGGACCTACCTATTTCATAATTTTTAGTTTTTAAATTAATAGTTTTTTTTATTTGTCTAAGGAAATTTGTCTATTACCATGAATAGTGAGTTCTGTATTGCAATACATTTTCAACAAGCTATCTTTCTTCGCTCATTCAATGGAATATTTCTATCGATTAGCCTGTAGAAAATAAAGGAGTTAAGATTAATTTTAACTTCTCTCAACTTATAATTACCACCCCTCGGCTCTAAGGGTATCGCGCACTTCCCATTCTTCTCTGCAACCTGCAAAGGGAAGCGTTGAGAGATCAGAATTTCAAGGGAGAATCGGGGGATGAATTTGTCGATTGGTTGACCCAAATCCGCTCCCTTGGTCTAATTAAAATGGTCTCATCGTTGAAAGAGTAGTGTCTTTGTTTACATGGGAGGGGACCCCCCCTCGCCAATTTTCGAAGATCTCACTTTTAATTAGAATCGGAGACACCGAAAAGCCCGTCAAAAACATTCTTCCGCTCGACGGATTCAATTCTCTTTATTTGTTTAATTTCGAAAAAAAGGAATATCTCTGAGAGTTTTACTTTTAGAACGGGCGAAAAACACGCTTATAAATCTGCCTTTGTACCATTCCTGACTACCAGTATCCAATGTTATTTGAATAAATGTTAATTAAAAATTTTATACATTTTTTTTCTTTATTAATTACTTTTGTTTGTCTATACTGAAGCCATTTAATACAGTATTATTCCTTATATTGGATTAATAATTGACCATCATAGATATAGAAACGTTGGCTGGGGAGTTCAATAAAATAAAAAACGAATTAAAAATTAATTAATTATTGTGAAAACATGTTATTGTTTTTTGCATACGGATTAAAATATTTTCGAAACTAAAAATCGGACCTGCATACTGTAAGCGAGAGAATCAGCATTTCACCCTCTCTGTAATGGGCTATTGCTCAAAATTGTATCTTAACGCGACGTCAGTCTCAGGCAAACGTATTCGTCTTATCTATATATATATATTATATATATATATATATAATAAATGGTTGCTTTGAAAATTGAAATTGAACTTTTTTTATACTTTCTACATTCTATTGTGTTTTTTAAGTATTTAATTTAAGAATTCAGTTCTTTGCTACTTATTATAGTTTTAACTCAAGTTTTTCTATTTTTAATTGTTTTGTTTTATTTTTTGTGATGTATTTTGGTTAAATAATGTACATAAAAGTTTAAAGTCAAGTTAAATAGAGCGAATAGTATCTTGGTCTTACTAATAAAAAAACTAATCATTATTTTTTATAATAATAATAATAATAATAAAGGCTTAGCGAACCCGGAGGTTCAATGCATACACCACCAATCACTCATTACACACCTTTCTCCACCTCGCTTTCGTTACTAAACTCAACTATTTTACCAGCCCATTATATTAACTGGATACAGTTCACGCAACTCGGCGTTGTGCAACCTTCTGAACTCTCCAATTATCTCATCTTTCTTCGGTTCCAATATTCTACGCAATACTTTAATTTCAAAAACCTTAAGACGTTGCTCATCTTTTTATGTAAGCAGCCACATTTCGCATCCAACTGTAGTTTAAGTCATTATTTTTTAAAGATATCATTAATATCAAGATATATATATATTTTTTTTTTTTTTTGCTGGCTATACCTTTGTCCCGAACTTTGGATTATCTGGAAAATCCTTGGCCGGTTTGTTTTGAATAAACACGGTTTTACAATGCATCGCAAAAACCCTCACTTCTTTAATTTTTTTTTTTATACATGGTACGATGTGTAAAACGAAAAAAATATATTAAATATACATTACGCGTAACTTTTGTTTGAAAATTTATTTTAAAATCCACATAGCTTCTACAGAGTTAAGCTCAAGTTGAGCCTTGATACTTTGGAGCGAGGTTGGGAAGGAACGTTGATGAGAAAGTTTCCCGTTGCTCAATAATTACTCATTCGTTCCCTGCGACAACAGCCAACTTTCCCGCCTTGAATATTAGAATTAATATTTCAACTGCATATAACTTTCCACAAAAACAAGCGCAATGAAGCATGCTCATCGCCTGCTAGAACTTGGCTACGAGTTATGGAAATTAGAGGGGCATAAATTGGAGGGAGCTAACCTTGTACATAAATTATTATAAATAAATTAGCTTAGCTGGCATAATGATATTTTATAAAAATATATTTTTGAATTAATTGTTTTTAAAAATGTTTGATGTTTGTTAGTTTCTTCTACCTATGTCGCGGAATGACCAACGGTCGGAATTAAACTAGTGTACAACAAGCGCAAACATTCTTTTTATATTCAAAAATAATTAAATCCTGAAAAATATTAGTTAATTTCTAATTAATGGTAAACTGCTATAACAGAGTCAATTCTGTGATATACAGTGCGTGACATAGACGCTTACCAGCATCCTAGAAAAAAGTATTTTTTGAAGTTATTGTGAAAAATCCTTCACACTGTAACAGCAACTATCTGTGATCAGAATAAGTAATTAGTTTAAAACTGATTTATTGAGAAATATTACTGTGTCAATTGATGATATTTCTGTATTCAAAGAGCACATTCAAACTCTATACCATGAGATTAACGGTAGTATGTGATACGCCCGTCGAATGGATTTTACTAAAGATTGATAGACAAACAACCAAAACCCTTTGATTTTTAAAATGTGTAAACTTTCGAATCAGAGGGCCAATTCTTTGAATTTGGAAATAGTTTGATTATTTTTATTATCATATTCTCATTTTCTTCGGCCTTCTTGTCACTCTATTTTCCATATCTCCATCTATATTTGATACATTTCCTCATACATTTTTTTACATTATATTTTTGATAGATTTTACAATATCTTAATGTTATATTTATATCTATTATTTCCTTATATAACTTCATATTTCTTTTCTCTGTTTTACTTTACACTTTATTCTATATTACCATTTCCATTTCTTATATTACCTTATGTTATATTATGCTTGTTACATTGGTCCGTGCTTTGTTGCAGTTATTATTATTTATTTCTTAGTTCTCTGTTACGGTAAGTTGTTCTACTAAAAATTATTATTCTTTACCTATCACCCTTTTTTTAAATCTTTATTCTGTATTATTTAATGTATATTCAATGTTATTATACCTATTTTTATCTGGTTCATTTCCCAGCCATGATGAAGGCCTGAACTTCGGGCCGAAACGTCGGCGAACGTAAAAATAAATAAAATCTTTTTTTTTTTTAATATTTCACTTTGACTGATCATCCAACCATCCTTCTTTTCTATTATTAATAACCTTTACACTTCTAGACTTTTCTTATTGAAGGATCGAAAAAAAAAAAATTAAGATTCAGGTTCCCTGGATTCCAAAATAACTCCATACACTAGTGTTGCCCAAATGCGAGACGAAGACGAGTCTTGGTCTTGCGCATTCCGTCTTCCTCTTGGTCTTGGTCTTGCGCAAGGGTGTCGCATCAGTCTTGCAGTTACCTATTAGCTATTACTATTGAGATATTATTGTATTTTTTTTTAGATAGGAAGAAACTAACTAAGCCGAAATGAAAAATTAGAAGAGTTAATTGCAAAAGTATATCGGTTATACCAATTCTTCACACATAATAACTAAAATTTTCAAGTATTAGGAACTATTTTGCCTTTATTTTTATTCATAAAATCGATTATTTTTTTTTTACCGTTCTTGTTCTTGGTCTTGCAACAATTAGGCGGTCTTGGTCTTGATCTCGCAAGACCAATTTTAAGCAACACTACCATACACGAAGCAAACCTAAACAAGGTACAAGTTTAACTTAGCCGGCGAGAGAGTTAAAGAAAAGTTGCAAACTAATATGGCGGAGGGACAGGATTAGAAGAGGATCAAGGAGTTTGCAGTAGCCTCAGCTTTAATTACTTGATGCCGGAAAGCTGCCCTGACGAAACGTACTCCGCACGATGTGGTCTGGAGTTATCCGGGAGTTTCTCCAACTGGGATTTACACTGGGAAGCCGGCTGTTATTTCACTCACCATTTAACCAGGAGGTCGCTTCATTACCATTAACTAATTGTTGGAGCAATCTGTGTGGGGACCTATCAGCAGCCCGGGGGGCATCACCTACCGATTGGGGCGCTCTCTGGAATCTGCCGCACCTAATCACCAGATTAACTTCGGGTAGATGTCTTTGGATTAGGCTGACTCACCGCCTCCGCTACAACTCCTCTGTCTATCATTACTTATACAATTAGTTTAATTAAAACTGGAAAGTACATTACAATATTTTTTTTTATTAATCAAATTTAAAACTGTATTAAAATAAAAATTACCCAGGGATGGCCAATTTTTATTTTTCACACTCTTAGAATTTAAGGACATATATAGATCCTCGGTGAGCTCAGAGGTCAAGAGAAAACTTTTGTTGAGCACAGTACTTCCTGTCATGACATAAAGGTTGTGAAATATGGGTAATTGACCAAAAGACTTGTCACAATGAATATTTTGTAGATATCTATTTTTTATTCGTTTTTATCCATTTGCATTGTATGTACAAATAAAGGTTATTATTATTATTAAAATAAAAATACAACTAGTAAATATGACTCAGAGAAATGTAATGACGTGAAAAACCTTGTGGAGAAACTACCCATTGCTACTATTCTAATGTGATGTTTAAATTAGAATACTACGAGGACATCTTTTCAGATTTCTTTGGAGGTTAGCAGGGATCGAAGAGGAAACGATATTAGATAAAAGAGGAATCGGATGGTTATGAAGTATGTTATAGAAGACTTGTTTAGAGGATAGGTACTGACATTCAATGCAAATTTCGGACATAAATAAAGCTCTCGATAGGTAAACTAAATTATTAGACATGATAGCTTTCAAACCATTCTATGATAATTGTAATTCGGTAAGGAATCTCCACGATAAGTATAATAGATATGTCCGAGTTCAGAATAGTGAATTTCTTATTGTATATATATGAATCAGACTTGTAATAAGTTGCTACCTGAACCTATAATTACGTTTGAAACGAGAGGATTCAGATGGTTCTGAAGTTTATCGTGAAAAATAGGTGTCTGGATTAGACCACATCGGAAACATGTGGAACGTTAAGATCATTATGAATGATTTTATTTTGAGAAAGTAAGAAGCGTGTTGAGGATTTTACAAAGCGTTTTATAAAGTAAGGATTGAAACGACAGGAATTCGATGGTTTATTGGAGCTCCAAAGCTTAACTCTATAAGTCATTATAGTTCTTATTATAGTCATGTACATGAGTCTTTTGTAATTAATTGGAAGCTTAGAGCGTTTGTCTAATAAGTACTGAAATAGCCATTCCAGCATCGACCGTCTTCTTGTAGTTTCAGCCTGGCATGAGAATTCCAAGTTAAATATTTGTACAAGAACACAATAAGATTTAAATAATAAGCTATTAGAAATTATTGCAGTAATCCATAAATTATTTTGTCCGGATAATAATGCAGTGTTTAATATTATCTTTACAATAACCCTTGTTATAACAAGCTGTTTACGTTAAAGGAATTATTCTCTTTTTTATCCTCTTTTAAACATAAATGATATTTTGTTTCATTTTACTAGTTGTAAGTAATTCAGTCTTTACCAAGATATCAAAGAGTAGTTATTTTTGGATAATTTTATGAGCTCGTACTCTGTCAGAACGTGGCCCAAACGAACACAAGCTTTATAAAGTCTGGTTATTTTAACTTTACTGTTGAATTCATACCTGTTTAAAAGCGAACGTAATCAGGATCAAAGGTATAAGAGCATGACATGATATCCGTTTCAATTATAAAACGTGTTGGTTGTTGAGTTTGATATCAATCCATACAATTTTGCAACCTTTTACGTATTTCCAAATTGTTTATTTATTTTATAAGGTTAAATAAAATAAATAAATAAATCATAGTAGCTCTTATGTTGCAGTGTTGAATGCTTTTATGTAGAATACAATAACTTTCTAGGTATATAAGTAAGAATAATTGTTCCCATTCATTCCACTCAATTACATCATTACATCATAACGTTTCGGGATTCACTTATATTCCATCTTCAGACTAGAAATTACAACGTATCGCTATCAACAAGTGTATAAAAACAATATAGCATTTATCAATATAACTACAAACAACAATACTTTTTTTTTTATTTATATGATATTTACAACTGTATACAAAAAATACATCTGGTAAATTCGCACATGGATATAATGAAATGAAACACATGTTAAGAAACTACCCATTGGTAGCACTCTAATAATATGTCTATATTAGGAGATCACGTGGCCATCTTCTTCTCAGACACCTCGGAGGGTTATCAGGAATTGAATAGGTTATGAAGTTTATTATGGAAGGACTGGTATCTGGATTGGGCCAAATCTGATACATAAGAAACATTAAGGTCATTATGGATGATTTTATTTGTAACAAAGTAAGGAGCATTGAGGATTTTACGAAGGATTTTGGATTGTAAGGATTGGATGCGAGAGGAATTTGAAGGTTTGGTGGAGCCCCATAGCTCAACTCCGTAAATCCAAATAGGCCTTATTATAGTCATGTAAATGAGTCTTTTATAATTAATTGGAAGGTTAGAGCGTTTTTCATTAAGTGTTGAAGTAGTCGGAAACGTCGAGCAGTTTCTTGTCGTTTCAGTCTGGTATGAGGATTCCAAGTTAAAGGTTTGTCCATATGGAGTCCTAGGTAACGGATTTGTTCAACAGGAATAAGTGAGATGTTGTTAAAGGATACTGAAGGACAGGAAGTCATTGGTTTACGACGAAGGGTGAAGGTGATTTGATGGGATTAACAATAATATAAGTTTTATTTTATGTTGCTAATCTTACCAGTATCCAGCATCATCTTATTCTCCATAAGACATGTCATATTATATTAAATTATTTGATTATTGTCCTATTGCTAAAATGTAGTAATTTTAAATTTATTATTTATTTAATTATTATTATTATTATATGTATTTAACTATTTTCAATGTTAAATAGTATAACCTGTAGTATAACCTGGAAATCCTATTTTAGTCCCCTCTAGGGAGACCCTATACAGATATTGAAAATTAAACTTTAATCAAGGCGTCAAACTCCAAAGATTGGCAAAATAAAATAAAAATTAAATTATTACTGTTTTTAGTTATATTAATAAATTCTATATTGTTTTTTATATAATTGATGTAATTTCTAGTCTGAAGATAGGATATAAGTGGATCCCGAAACGTTATGATGTAATGATGTAATTTAGTGGAATGAATGGGAGAATAAATCACTGAGAAAAAATATTTTTACTTATATACCTAGAAAATAAGTATCTCCCTTAGGATAAATGAAGAAAATACAATAACTTTTTTTCACGTGCATTGATTTTTGCCTAATATTTTCCGTTTTGGAAAAATAAGCGATAGGGAATTCATAATTGAACCCAAAGCAGAGTGGCATATTGAGTGAGGTATTCTTGTGGAGGTTGAGGGAGGGGCTAAAAGGGGAGGGGGGAGGGGGACTCGTATATAAATTAAGAGAAATATCAGCCAAGTGACGATCTCTCACGTCCCCACTCCGTGAACGTTCCGGAGCGGCCAGAATTTTTATATGGACCCGTTTTGCCAGCTTCCTTTATTCCTTATTCCTTATATCGTATTCGAGTCATGCCGGCTTTACAAGTCTGCTACGACGTAAGTGGAAGGAAACGTTCCTCTATGGTCTTTCATCAATCTTGTACCCCGTCCCTGAGAGAAGCGTGTTTTCGGAACTCTCTAAGAAGGAGAGTACATCGGAGGATGGAAATATGAAAACGTTTTGGTTCAGTATCTCCCTGTCGAGAAGCTCTCTCTCACTGAGGGAATACCAGATCATACGTTTTTACCTCTTAAGATGTTTGGAGAGGTAATAACGCCATTAAAATATTGCGTGTTGAAAATGTATAATGTGAAATTTGGACGCTTCGGTGTCTCTTGTAGTTTTTTTTTTTTTGTGCTCTTCTCTCAGTAAAATGAATTTCAAAGTCTCACGAAAGGATTTTGCTGTATATTTATTTTTTTTTTAAATCGATCCAGCTATACGCTCTAAGACTAGTAACAAAGTTTTTTGTAAAATAATTCTTTTTAAAAAAAATATTTGTATTGAAATTTACAACTGTGAACATACATACATCCAGTAAATTTGCTATAGGAATATATTACATGAAGGTACTTGTGAAGAAGCCCCTTGGCCATCTTCTTTTAAGACGCCTCAGAGGATTGTTAGGAATTGTGTTGGATGAAAGCTTACAAACTAGATGATTTGGATGACCAAAGAGTTTTGAATGAATAGAGGTATATCTAGTTCGGGCCAAGTCTTCCACATGAGGAATGTTGAGGCTTTTATGGAATATTTTACTTGTTACATAATAAGGAGCATTTAGGATATTACGGAGGATTTTGGATTGTAAGGATTGGATACGGAAAAAAATTTGGTGTTTTTGTAGAGCCACAAAGCTCCATACCATACGTCCAAATGGGCCTGATGATGGTAGTGTAAATGAGTTTTTTTGTAGAATATTGGAAGTTTAGAGCGTTTGTCAAGTAAGTGTTACAGAAGTCGGAATCTGTTGGCAGTTTCTTGTCTTTTATGTCTAGTATGAGGATTCCAGGTAAGGCATTTGACAAGAAGGAGTCCTAGGCCGTACCTAGGTAACGGATCTGTTCCACAGAGATCAGTGGAATATTGTTAAACGATATGGTGGGATAGGATGTTGTAGCTTTATGGCGAAGAATATAAGTAATTTGTTGGGATTTGTTTGGAAAAAAAAATAATAAAAAAAAAAAATCTCGGAAGATCTTACCGAATAACATAATATATCAAACTTATCGTTAGTTTAAAAAATCGTTACGAAAAAGCCTTTTACGAATTGATCAAACATATTTTATTTACTCAAGGATCAGGATTTAGTATTTAGTTATGCTGGTTTTAACGAAACTTTAGCTTTACTAAAAAAAAAATAACATTTTCTAATGAAAAATATATAAAATAAAATGCAGTAGACGTTTGCCTCGGCAGAATACAATCAGATGCTTTTACAAGGTGACACAACGCTGATGGGTCAGGTACCATGTTCCTGACGGTCGTCATGCCCTGACTAATTAATTATATGAGAGCTTTACCAAGTGGCAGAGAGCTTTCCCTTGTGGACATGTTCCCACTTCCTATGTCGAACTGGTTCGGATCACAAGGCAAAATTATTAATTCTCTTTAGTACTTGGACACAACATATAATGAGGCAATACGTATCATGCGGATGATCAAGTAATCCTATCCCAAGATGAGTTGATTCATATCCAAAATTCATATGAAAAGTGAGGGTTAAAAGTTAATTTTTAAAAAATGAAGCTCTTCGTTACGTCTACAGATAACACGCTAATTTAAAAACCGTGTTAAAACAATAGATATGTTCAAATACTAGAGGTCAGTATTCAGTAGCAGAGAAACATCTACTAGTGATATAATAATAATAATAATGCTTTATTTATTCCGGGACGAGTCCCTTTAGATTAATTCAGAAAGACAATAATGTGGGCTAAGGAGCCTTAGAGATACATAAACAAAAATATATAGTAATTAAATAGTCAAAATAAAAAAAAAATATAAGTTACTTACTAATTTAGATCTGTTAATAATAAAAAATTGAAAATTAACATGAAATAAAAATAATTAAGAACGATCTAATAATTTATACACATATTTACAGTAGTAACTATTTACAATTTTATGGGAACTGGATGGATAAGAAATGATTGAACAGGCGGGATTTAAAAGTAGAAAAGGTTTTGGATTGACGGAGGTGCGGAGAAGTAAGAAGGACGGTGGGATTGGATGACTTGAAAGAGGAAGGATGCCAGGAAATACTTGCTACGGTAGGAAGGATAAAGCCACTTCAACTCTGCATAAAAACGGGAAACAGAGGCGTCCCTTAGTATCCCGAAGATGAATCGTGCAATAAATGAATCGATATAGGACGGAGAATTGAAAAAGGAAAAAAACATAACAGGGATTCATAACTGTGTCCTTTTGATTTTAACGGTAGAGCTCAAATAAACAGCCTAGTAAAAAAAGGATAATATACAAATCGATATTCGAAACTACAACGACATATGCTTCAGAAACATTTATCAATAATCCCTGATACCGAAAACGATT